GAACCAAGCTTCTCAGAAACTAGGCCCCTATTTGACAGCTTGGGAGCTTTTCTGGACAAGCAGTTTCCTCAGTATCGTGACTACTGAGATACATAAATAATAATGTCTTTATCTGTTATTGTACACAGATGAACAACAACCAAGGCTTGGGTACAAAGAAGGACTTGGTAGATGGTTTTCCGAGTTGAGAACCGGCTATTTTATTTCATATCTTTATTAGCCTATCATGGTAGTAAGTAAAAATCTTTGAACCTGAATAAGGCAGCAGTAGGTAGAATACTTATAGAACAGGGAGCTGCTTAAACAGTTTTAGCAACACAGAAACAGAGCCCCCAAAGGAATGTATGAGTCCTGCATGGTAATCATCTTCTCCAATAACACACCTAGGTGCATAGGTATGGGGATCTCTAATGGCACACTTCCTTAAGTTCAGTACAGGCATTAGATCAGAGTAAAATGAAGGTGTCTTATGTCTTACAACAGGGATGTACTGATACTGAACAGCAATCACCCAGGAACACCCCTGTTGCAAACTTTAAAATGTCTATAGATATTCACAATCCACAATTCGCATCTGTTCGCGATACATGGGGGAAAACAACCCATACAATGTCCCATATTGGAACGAAAGAGACTTGTGTGTCAAGTCTCACACAAAGAGGGTAATGCTGAGATAGCAACAGGTAATAACTGAAATGTATACCTGATTGGCAGTGGAAAATATATGCATGTGAACTATAAACTTTTCATTTTATTTAAAGCAAGTAAAAGGAAATTCCATTGCTTATGAAAAACTAATGCAGACAGTTTTATGAAATCAACCTGTTTTTCAATATTATTCTCCTTGATTTTTCTAAAATAGACATCCCCCAAAGTAAAAAAAGCCTTCAAAGATTGATATGCCTAAGAAAAAACACACAATTACAATATTATCACTAAAATGTGTATGTATTAAAAGACTATGTTACACAGTTGTGTTTATTTTGAAAGAGAGGTAGTTAACCATGATAGTCTGAAGCCAATCACAGAAGGCACCTTTATAGACTAACTAAATGAGAGAGCAAGAGCTCCATCAAATGCTGTGAAAGGATGCGCAGAAAGCAGAGTGTATAGAGAACATTCTTTCAGACTGTTTCAGAACTAGTGTCAAAGGTAGTCAGATGAACACAAGGTAAATTTTCATTATCCACTATCATCATTAAAATAAAACTATAGTAGTATCACAGAAAAATAGGCCTGAAAGGGACCTCTGGAATAGCAGTAGCAGAATATTTCTTTAAGATAATTTTTATTGCTTATTTTAAACCCTTACAATGTGTTAGCACCGACTGTTAATTTAATTAAAACAAATTATGCAAATACATCCTAACCTTAAGTTATTAGAGGATTTTTTCATCCTTGGAATAGCTGGAAATGTTTGAAATTTCACACCAAGACAAAGGATGAAAATCTTTCAACTGTTGTTATGCAAGAACATAGGCATTACAAAAATCTGATTACTCTAAGTGTTTACTTGTTTCAGTGTGAAACAACAACGTTCCTTGCTGACAATGTTTTTAAAACGATAGCAACTAAAATTATAATACTGGATGCATTCCAATTTAGAATATCTATATATTCCTTTCCAATAAGTAATTTAACCCTTTAAAATATTATAAATTTAAAATACAAGGGGGAAAAAAAAAATCACTACAAATATTAACCTGGATTATGCCAATTACACCCTCCTCTTTATAAATTGAGCTTCCTTTCTTCTGAATGTTGATGTGTAATGTATATTAATCTTTTAGGCTACAGCCAATGCAGTCTCTTTCTGTCCATATTATAAACCAATGTGACTGGATGAAAAACAAATAATATCCCTTTACACAAGGATTAATCAACTCCTAAGTAAGCAAAAATAACAGTTCAGAATCATTAGCCTACTGATATAAAATAATCTCGTAGTTGCAGCTAATCAATGTTGATAAGTAGTAAGATACTTGGAGAGATCCATTTAACTATCAAGTATACTCATTCAGCATGCAAGAGAGACTATATTCACATATGCATGTCCCTTTAATAATCAAGAGTTTTTCAAAAGCCTGTGATTCTTGGACAATTTTGTAGTTTACACACAGCCTTGCATATCCTTCTCTGCCTGCAGCCCGACAAACTTCAAAAGTAACATATGACAATACCAAAAGTTTGACTGTACTTAACCTGTCCAATACAAAAAAATACCTCATACTTCCCCCTCCAACACCTGCCAAAAACAAACAAACAAAACATACCAAAAAACCCCCCCAACCTTTTCTAAAAGCTTGCATAAGTGAAAGATTGTGCAATAAGAGCCAGGCATCATCAGAATGTACATTTAAAGTAACTGTACTTAATTCAAAGTACTACTTGCTCCCAGACAAACCACCCCTCTAATCCCTCTTTTTGAGCACTAACCAACTAGGTGTCAGGACTCTTTCATTTCCTTTTTGCAGGAGGGATCATAAGATACTTGATTCTTCCATTCCAAGACCAGACCTTTGCTGCAGTCCCCAGCTCGCAATTATTTCAGCAGACCACTTGCATCCAAAACCATTCTCCCTTCCCTGCAAAACTTCCCCCACCTCCTTTAAGTGATTATTTTATAGAAAACCAGAACCATTTTTAAAAAGCCTACACTGTTCTCTTAAAAACAGACACGCACATTGATCTCTTCTATCTTACCATATTTAGCCAGCTTCCCCACAGGGACCTTAGTAGGTCTAACTTCCTTAGACTCTTCTGCAATGCCTCTCTAATAGGAGTTCACTGAGAACTCCACAGACAACCACAGCAAGCAATTATATCCCTTCTTAATAGAGGGGTTTTTTTAACTAACCATAACATACTTTTGATCTCTGGACACCCATCCTAACATGACAACTATGCCACTACAGCACAGAACATACAAGTATGCCATTGCCCCATAGTTGCCCTCCAGGAGATGGCTTACCTGGGAATACTGACTTGTCTTCCTATTCATTTTTCCCCACAGGCTCTATGATGCTAGAGCAGGGAAGTTTATAAAACACAATCCAACATAACTATGCATCTCGATTGCAAGACAAGAAGCCAAAAAGTGACCACAGCTTGGTCTTGGATTCATAGACTGAGAGGCTGGAAGGGACCTCAGAAGATCACTGGGTCCAGCCCCCTGCACCAGGCAGGAAAGACAAGTGGGGTCAGGCAACCCCAGCAAGGTGACCATCCAGTCTCCTCTTGAGGACTTCCAAGTAACGGTCTTCATGACATTATGACAGCTTGGTACACAGTGTGTTCTCCTTCACATTTTGCACACAATGCCACTGTACTATGTAAGGGCTGACTGTAATATCGGCATTGATATAGCACTTTGACTATGTAAAGTGGCGAATGAGCAAATTCATTCCCAAAACGTCCCTGTGGTACTGGCAGGCAATCAAATACCACCAACATAAATAGACAAGGAGCAAGGTGGACTCCCTACAACTACATGCACCAATGACAAGAGCAGGCCGAGACCTCAGACCCCACTGACTTCCCACACCCAGATACCCCCAACATCACCCTGCATCATGCTCATCCCCAAAGCTTATCCTCAAACTTAATCCCTCCCCCAGACCCTCAACCCACTGCCTCTTCCCTCCCCCTCCTACCAGCCACATAGGCTGCAGGGCTAGAATTGAGCTATCCCAGA